GGGTTACCGGGCGTGGTGACGTGGTTGGGGGGGGTGGTAACCGGTGCTTCTGGAAGACCCGCTCACGACGGTGATGGCCATTTTGGCAGCCAAGCGAACGTTATAGGATACGGCAATCTAATACAGTGGCGTATGGTGCAACAAGCAGCACGCAGCTGCGCAGCTCGCGCACGCTCGTGGGGTGACGCAGCACTTGCCGCCTGTCGTCTCTTACATGCACATTGTCACTATGCCTCTGCCTTCTTTTCCCCCTCTTTGAAGACTCAGTCGCACTACGTCATGAGAAAGTACTCCTTCGCCTCTTCTCGGAGCAAAGGAAATTTTGGTTGACAGATGCACTATAACCACTTCCGGCACTATTTACTCTTTACTGCCCCAGTCATCGGAATCGAGCCAGGTTTTGACCGACTTTTTTCGCCGAAGACAGACTTGGCTCAAACGTTGTCTCTTGAGGTAGTATGACCTCCTGAACACGAATATTACATCCGCTACATCCGCTTGGCTCGAAACTCCTTGGCGCCCGCGGATTTAAGGTATTTTAGCGCCGGCGCCTGTGGCGCGGGCGCCAGGTTTCGTGCCGAGCGGATGTGATATTCATGTTCAGGAGGTCAAACTACCCCAGGGACAAGTTTTTAGCCAATTCTGCCGCGGAGAAAAAAAGTCGGTCGAAAACTGGCCTGATTTCAAATGGCCGGGCAGCTAGTGCCCCACTTCCTCCAGCACGGGGAGGGGGATGGGGTAGCTGTGACTCGTGTTGTAAGCCTCAACCAAGTCAGAAAATGGAAGTACACGATATTATTCATTGAGCTCAAAAGTCTTACGTCTGCCTTCTTCATCTTCGCATGCTGTATCCATCGTTTTATTACTCGGACCTTGTATAATTGACACCGGCCGCTAAATTAACAGAAATGAATTGTTGAGTCAAACTTTACTTACAATCAGACTGAGCAGCTTTCGCTCTCGGTTTAGTTTTAAGATCATACGTATTTCTTGTGAAGAAGTGCATGACGCATAGATTCTCGGCATCCGATTTCTGTTGCATCGTCGCCCATTTCAACTTCATAAGCCTCTCTCTTAAAATACTACGTTGCTCGATTTTTGGAAATATTTCATAATCAACGCAAAAAAGGCTTTGTGTAAACTCATGCGTGAGCTGGAAAAACTTTTTCACTTTTTGTTAATGCTGCTGTGCCTCTCGAGGTTTTTGAGAGAAGCTGGAGATTTTTTGACTTTTCATTGTTTCCGTTCCACGAACACTACATCCACAAAAACAGAAAATGGGTGCTAAACGGATTCAGTTCTAGTTTTTCTTGTTTTTTCGTGGTCCGGAAGTTGGGAGGGGGGGAGGGAGGGGTTGTATTGAGGCCGTCATTTCGCCCGTTCCAGTAATGTACTCTGTCTCAAAAGTTCTGTGAAGAGATCCTGAATAGTAGAATGGGTGGAGGGCAATAGCTAGTGTACTATCTAATTGATGTGCTCTTTTTCTTTACCGCGTTGAAAAGAGGAGCACAACTTCAACAAAGGCACAGGATTGTGAGTCTCCGCCCTTCTGGTCATCGTGAAATGTTGAACTGGATAGTGCGATAGCCGTACCGTCAATGCAAAACAACTTGGGTTTGGGCTGCTCCGTAAGGCATTAACTCTTTCGACAAGAAAGCTGCATTTCTTCTCCTTAGCCATCACTTTGTTGAATGTCCTTCGGACAAACCTCAGGTCCGTTGAAGCTGTTATCTGAAAATCACAGTGTTTTTGTAAAGCGCTGTGGTGAGAAAAACTAGATACAGTGAGATGAAAGACCATATTTTGCTATATTTTTTGATATTTTTTTCAGGGCGAGTTATTTCCTACAAAATAATGGAGCAAGGTTTGACAGAGCAAAGCTGTATTGGAAATT